TGATGGATTGAGGAAACAAGGAAATGCAATAGAGACCCTCAAGTGAATGATATGAGAGGTCAAAGGCGCTGGACTGGATTCCATCCATGATATCGAAAGGATTGCACAGGACAGAACTAAGAAGAGAAATATACCGTCAGCCCTAAGTCACATATAATGACACAGCAGGACAATGAATGAATGGACAATGTAGCAGTTATCCATATTTCCGACTCACCCCAGACAACCCTAAACCTACAACCCAGCTACAGAGAAAAATCAGAGCAAGTAATTACCTTGAGGGTCGACCTCTTTGGCAATTTTGAGAGCATCAGAGTTGGCCAGATCTGTGTTTGCTGGACTGACGGCCAGGATGAGGCACGACTCTTTGCTGATGAACTCTAGCAGCATGCTGCGGATCTGTTGTTCGATATCCGCCGGCTGGTCACCCACGGGAACCTTGGTCATGCCGGGAAGATCAATCAGCGTCAAGTTGAGGACTAAACAAAAGTAATGGAGACAAAAATTATTCAAATAATAAAGAAATAAATATTCAAATAATGAAAACATAAATTATTTAAATAATAAAGACATAAATTGTTCACATTATGAAGACATTAATTAGTCAAATTAGTTAGTTGCATAGCTTTTCTAGGACATTGCAAAACCAACCCCAGCATTGTTTGGCTGAAGTTGGTTTTTTTTCTAGGCACATTAACGCGTTTATTTTTTAAAGAGGACATATACCAAACGAGTTTTCCAATGAGGAATAACGGAAGAAAGATTAATCCGTTCCCATTTTAAAAATCCTATTTTTAGTGGCATATTATATGTTGACAGGGTTGTTTTTAACAAATTTAAACACTGCATAATGCTAAAATATATAAAAACAAAACTAATTAGATTTTTTTTTAATGTAAATTTAACCGTACACCCAATCCCTTCAAAGCATGGAATTGGATCCATCACTTGATTTACACCACATTGTGAAGGTGGAGTATGCAGAAAAAAAACAAGCCACATCAACTGTTCTTACACTTACCATAAGTTGAAAAGAACATTGGTTGTTTTTGAAACCTTCATGACGTAAAAAGAACATGAAATGTTCCTCAACTTACCAATTAGGATTATGTGAAAAGAACACAAACTGTTCCTAACTTACCATTAGGTGACAAGAACATGATCCGTTTCCACACTTACCATTTAGGTTGAAAGAACACTGATCTATTCCTAACTTACCATTATGTGAAAAGAATAACTTACCATTATGTGACATAAACATGATCCGTTTCCACACTTACCATTAGGCGAATACACTCGCAGATTGATGGGGATGTTAGAGATGCCTTTGTTACCGCCTGTGACTCTGTCTGTTTCCTCTTCAATCTCCTTTCGCACCAAACTGAAGTCTGTGAATTTCTTACCCTTGGTGTGGATGAACTCTGCATATTCTGGAGTGGATAAAATTGTAATTTGTAGAGAAACAGATAAACTGCATATCTCGGGGAAGACATTTTATACTGAAGGGTGTGGTTATTAGTTTTCTTTTTCTTCTTCGTTCAACCTTATAAGGCTGGTTGAAACATTGTGGTTTACAGCTAGGCTGCAATAAATGTACTTTTCACCCAAACCATTCAGTTGAAGCAAATTCCTAAATAGTCACCTATTATGACATACTTATTACAGGATAGTGATTTATGCCGCCCCCCCCTCCCCCCCCCTCTCTCGGGGTTGCAAAACTCACAAGGAGAAGTTACTGGTTAAAATGACATGGTGGGGGGAGGGAGGGGAGATAAGAACATGATCTACAAGAGGTGATCATGTGAGATGCCTATCTTCTTGTAACACGATGTGATTCATCAACTCTAGTGACATTGCCACACTCCGCAGATGTGAGATAACATAAGGGAAATTTACAGTACCAGTATTGATTCTCTAGCTACACAAGTGCAGTCACTTAGTTATCAGTGTCTCAGCTTTCAGTTATTATTATTATTATTCTCCCTGGGTATTCAGAGCCCTTAAGGTTCATTGCTGCTGATATTACTTGCTCTCATGTATCTCTGCGACTAGTCTTCTCTTTCCAGTTGGTCTTTAAATATTTGTAGGTCTGCCTGTGTATTATCTCTTCACCGTCTTCTTGGTCTGCCTATGATGGCCACCTTGACTTTAAAGAAAATTTCCCAGTATCCATGTTAGACTGGGCCGACTGAGATCCACGTTGAACCAATTCCAGCTTCCTCGGTTCTTCTTCTTCTTCTTCTTCTTATAGTCCATGCTGTGTAGGGTTGGTAGTCATGTCTATCCATAAACTTCTGTCTCATGTACTTTCAATCAACTCTGACAAAGTCATGATCTTTCATGCCATGATGTCAAACCATCCAGCAAGTTCTCTCAGTCTCCCTCTGCTTCTCCTCCACTCCAACTTTTCTACCATCATGATGTATTTGTTGGTGTATAAGATGCTCCTCTGTATAAGACATATCATAAAAATAAAAAATAAATCTTCCAGAAAGAAACTTAAATTGTATTATGGCAGCCATTTAAATACACAAGTCTCCAATTCCTGCCATTCCACACTTTTCCCAAGCTGTGAACGCTTTTCTTTGTTCATTTTGCACAAACACCCTGCTGAGATTGCCAAAGCCTCATGGTGGGGGTCCAGAATAACCTTCTGCTGGCCTACTGCAGAGTTCTTCATCTTATGTCATCACTTGGAGTTTGAAAATTGCATTGAGGAATGCTGCTTACTATCTTTTTTCATATCAGGGGCAAAAATATGAAAAATAATGGTACATGTAGGCCTACCTTCCTTGTATAAGACTCAGCCTAATTTTAAGGCCTATTTTGAGAACAAGTGTGTGTGTCTTATATTCCAAAAAATACAGTAAGTGATTCTATGTACTCCCGTTTGTAATTTTATCATCGTCCATTTGTGTCACATGTTGATATAGACTTTTTTCTGCAGCAGCGTTCATTCTGTCATTTGTGATTGTGACACTATGAATATTCTTCAACAAATGTACAAGATACAATACCTGCCATGGAACCAGCACACTTAATGGAGTGTCACAGTACTGGCAGTTTTACCTGTTTTACTGTACATCAGCTGTAGCACCAATGGCCGTCTTGTCACAATGCCTGAACCTCTAGGGAGAAAATCTCTGTGAATGTACAAACAATCAAATATCTGACAACTGCTGAAACTCTAGGGAAGGGCTATTCAACTAAATTGACTCAGGGGCCAAAATATCAACACTGGAAATCGTCACGGGCCAAAGGCCTGAGCTCCAGCATAGACGGATCATTAGCTAGTTAATCAACCGATCATCCTCACTGCACACTGGACAAGTCCATAAGCACTCAGGTCGCATTGTCAGCATCTCCCTCAGCATGTGGCGGCTGATGACAGCAGTTCTGTGTTTGTTTGGCTACCAATCTAGTGTTCATATCTGCCAACACCTCTTTTTGACATGAAGCTCCTGTAGTTTTGTGTGACGACACGCTTGGTGACTTCAGAACATGTCTTTCCTCAACCTAATTTTTTTCTTTGTATTCTAAAGTATGAGGGAAAACATGCTCCTGGGCTGCAACCTAAATCTGGGTTGACCAGAACTAAGCTATTTAATTTCCCTTTGACTACAGCTAAAGTCAAACATCACTACCCTTGCAGAGTGTTTGAGGTGTCAGATAATTCAGATAACACCGACCAGGTAGACTGGGTGGCACACACCTCTTTTGACATGTAGTTCATGTAGCCTTGTCAAGGTTGCCAATTCATTCTCTTCTCCTGAATCATCTATTCGTCCTGCACCCTTGACAGCACTGAGAAGATCGGCTCGGTCCATTGCTTATTCTGTGACTACTGTGGCGCTGCCAGAAGCCAATCAGCTTGTTCATTACCTTTTACCCCCAGAGTGTCCTGGCACAAACATTTTACTGAATCCTGTCAGGTGAGATTTCCTTAGAGACTCCAACCCTGCCTTTGAGCCCAACCTGTCTTGATTTTCTTAAGCATGTTGTATAGGATCAGTTAAAAAGCTAGGGTGAAAAAAAACTGTCATCACCTCTAAAGTCAGACTAATTGTAATGTAATGCAGTGTTTCAGAAACGGTTTTTAGTCGGGATCGCCTTTTTTCAATTACAATTTTTCCACGCCGCCCTTACCTAAGTAAAAGTATGACTATTAGTATGAAAGAGATTTTTTTTTTAAAAACTCATGTATTATTGAAAATTCCGCTGCACCCCTGTGAAGAGGTCGCAGTTCTCCGGGGCACCGCAACACACAGTTTGAGAAATCACTGGTCCACTGTAAAGATCCCTAATACACTACAACAGGTAATGATCTGTGGGCCACTTGCTTCGCCTCTGCAGGCCAGATTTGACAGCCAGGACGCCAGCTGGATAGTCCTGCTTTAGAGAGCTACAAGTAATCAAATATACAAAACCTCCTAGGGTAAATTTCTTCACTTCCTTATCTTTTTTCTACACTTTCTTTTCTTTTTCTCTCTATTTTTCTACTGTCTTGTATTACCCCCCCCCCCCCCCCCCCCCCCCCCCCCCCCCCCCGAGCATAGACCCTCAACTACTTAGATTTTTGGTTGGGTTTTGCAGCTAGTTTTCTAGAGGGTGAGTGAGCAGGCCCCACATCCACCTTCTCAGTCCCCTCTCGCAACAGATACCCGAGTTACTATTCTTTATTTCCTTTATGGGAAACATTAACAGATACCCGTGTTACTATTCTTTATTTTCTTTATGGGAAATGTTAACACTCCAAAAAGAGTATACACCCCAAAAAAAAGTCAGGCAAGTTCTTTTTCTTCTTCATGTGCATCAGCTGTAAACTCCAGGAAAGAGTCCTGGCTGTTCACTCACTTCTGGACTTTGGTCTTGTTCCAGGACTTGCACGAATATTCTTTTACTGATCTGGCTTATTTGAGTGCAGGCTTTAGTTCTTCAACTCCCACACAGAGGCCTTCCTACTTCAAAGGAAATGTTGATTCTACCTACATTGGCCCAGCCCTTGGCTAGCAAACTATTGCTAGGATGGCAGCAGAGAGGAGTAGATAGGTCTAGCGCTGGTGCAGCACATGTGGTTCAGTACCTCTGCATCAAGTCCAGATTTACAATCAAAGGAAGACCAAGAAAATGATGGACAGATAACTTAAGGGGCAAACTAAGATAACACAGATAAAACACAACCAAAGGCAATACATCCAGCCTTAGTACAGTCTTTGGTATCTCACAGTCCCTATTTTAACAGCCAGTGTGGATCGGGAAATGGGGCAGCTTCACCTAGGGTTATAAATCTGCCTGCAATATATGGTCAAAACTCTAACTGCAGTTGCCCTGATAAGACCAGACCAAGCGATTTAAAAAGGCTTTATACAGTTTGTCCAAATGAGAACTACTGTATGGAGTAGAACAATGAAAAACAGCTAAAACTGTTAGTAATAAACCACAAACATTCATTAACTGGCGCCTGCACCGAACAGAGGGAATTAAATAAATAATATGACAGAATCACTAATGTTGAGATTTGGGAGAGAACAAAATAAATTCTACAGAACTAAGAGGTGCAGAAAAGACTCAGGCTAGACAAAACACATGTTAAGAAAACCTGAATACACTATAACTAGAATGTTTTTGCACTGGTATCTACACAGAAATAAAGGCAGACGCACACACACAAAATGAAGAAAGGAACTAGAGAATGAAATTAAAAAATTATGAGTACATGTGGTGAGCCACATGCAAAAGCAAAGATGAGGATAATTTGGTTTTAGATGGCTGAGGGCATATGCTACTCTGAGAGAGATAAAAGGCAGAAGAAGAAGAAGAAGAAGAAGAAGAAGAAGAAGAAGAAGAAGAAGAAGAAGAAGAAGAAGAAGAAGAAAAAGATGAAGAAGAAGAAGAGGAGGAGGAGAAGAAGATACAGTTTCCTAGTCTGATATCCCTTCCCTGGGACTTGACAATAAACAACAGAAGGAAATAGTGTGTTGTGTACTAGTCCAGTCACAGACCTGTGCCGCCTGTGTTGGGAAAGCTGGGACTGACTCAGCTGCAGGTGGGGATCTAACACACAGAGAAATAAAGCCATTGATTACAGTTGTGATAAGAATGGACAACATGAGCCCTGGGGTCAATACAAGCTGTTGCCACAACAGCTTACAGAATCATGTTAGCTGTACCATGACATAGAGCTGCAATGTATGTGTGAGCAGTATATTAACTCTTATCAATTAATGCATAAACCTTTGGTCCCCTTATGTCCCTGAATAGACAGGTGAGTAAGAAGAAACCCATACGTTAGCCCCCCCCCCCCCCCCCCCAAATTAGCTCAAAGAAGCTCACAGGTGTCAGTATAGGCCACCCATACACTAGCCCCAAAAGCTTATGCCTAACAAATCTTCTTCTTTGAGTTCACGAGTAGTAAACTCCAGGAGGGAATTCTGGTTGCCTGTCCACTTCTTGTAGTAGAGCTTGAGTTCTGTGTGCATATCTGTTTTACAGATACGGCTTTCATTATTTGCCAACTTGGCTCCGTGCCTCTCAGGCAGATGCACTCTGACTTAAATGGAAACACCCCCTAATTAGACAACTTTGCAACATTCTTTTTAGGAGGGCAGTGGATCTTTTCTCTGCCCCTTTCCTGTTCTGAACTCACAAGTGAGTATAAAGCCACTAAATACACAACCTCCCTGAGCTAATGAAGCCACCAATACTATACTTTTTATACTAGCTTCCTGAGCTCACACGTGTGTATAAAGCCACCTATACACTAGCTACCTGAGCTAATGAATCCACCCACTGACTAGCTTCCTGAGTTAAAAGGTAAGTTTAAAGACTCCTATACCACTGCTCCCTGATTTAACTGAGTATAAGTATAAAGATTCCTATACCATTGCTCCCTGATTTAACTGGGTATAAAGCCACCAGTATACTAGCTAACAAAGCCACCAATGCATGAGCTCTTTGAACTAACAGATAAGATAAGTCTACCTACATCCCAGCTTCTTTTACTGAGCACACACTAGTAGCCACATATTCAATTTAAATCAGCCCCCTCCGTCACATCTGTTAACCTATTTATTTGCCAGGCCCTGGTGCAAATACACCAGCTGTTACCAGCCAACTGAACTTTCCACAGCCCAAGAAACAATTAAACATACCAGCGTACAATGCAAAGCGGATCATTAGTTAATGGTGAACATTTGCTGCAATTCCATACAAGAAATATACCAAAAGAGGAGAAGGACGGAGAGCAAGAGGTAGACCAAGAACAAGTAGGGATGATAACATCAGAGAAACTATACAGCACCATGCTTTGTCTATGGTCGAAGCAGCCAGAAGAACATAAAGCAGGTACTTATATCTCCCTCAATCTGAAGCAGTATAAGAGGATGTAAAGAAGAAGAACAACATTTGTTAGCTGTTCCAGCATGCTTTCTTACATCACTGTCTAACATGAACTCTGACAGAAGTTACTGCCAGTTGCACTGTATTTTAGCGACTTTTTTTTTTTTTTTTTTTGGCTGGCTTTTCTGGCATATTACACTGCTTTCTTATGAAAGTTTAAATAGCTTTGAAATACAAGATGCCTAAGAGGAACACAGAAAGACAAGATCACAAACACTGAGGTATTGAAAAGAGTAGGTATTACAACAGTTTTTTCAATGTTCAGTCTCTGAAGGCTCAGGTGGCTTGAAGAATTGAGGACGGAAGAGTCTCTAAGGACATTATCAACTGTGGAAGGGCTATTCAACTACATGGGCCGCCAGTTGAATAGCCCTGGTCTAGAACAATATAACACTGTTGCCTGGAAAGATGTCAACAAACAAACCAAGACTGCTTTCTTTCATTGCTATCTAAAGGACAACTTTCACAATGGTGACTGCACTAGCCATACAGCCAGTGCTGGATACAGGCATTAGCTAAATAAGCTACAGCTTAGTGCCTCACAATCTGCAGGGGCCTCAACAAAGTCTTACTTTTAAATCCACAAATAAAATGTTCTTTTATCAGAGCCTTTCAGATGGTTATATAGTTAAATTGATGTACTTTTATAACATATTATTGTTTTACTAAAAAAAAAAAAAAAAATCAAATAATATATTTTCATTATCCATATAATTAAAATACATATATTTTGAAGTTTTTTTTTTTAGGTTAGCTAGTGCAGTAAAGACAAGTCTGTTAAAAGAATGGCATTTTAGTTACTTTGTTGTTTGTTCAGCTTTCCTACCTTCTACACTATTTCCATACACTGTTAAACTTTGATGGAAGCACAGAATTTGAGTTACTTAAGTACTGTTAACTCTTTTAGTCCAACAATGACCTAGCAGATGTCCAAGGGTGTTAAGACAGTAAACTCATGGGTATATTGTTTCCAGAGGGGAGAAATATACAACCCTTGCAGGAAACATATATGTTGTCAGAGTTCTCCAGAGACCTTCATTTAAACATTTTAAATGTTGAATTAAGAATCAACATCAGAGAACTTGGGACACTCCCATACGTGCTCAGTTCCCCATCTTCAGCAGTAAGCGAAGAGTTCCAATTCAGCTGGTACCAGTAACCGTCTGATTGTATATCCGTTGCGCCTTTCCCTTGAGTGTCGGCCAGATCCCCTGGTAACTCCTCGCAGCGCCATTCTCCTTAGACTGTAATGATCTATCTGTGCCTCCGCACTGTTCACTCGCTCCCAAAGGGCCCTCACAATATCTAACTTGTCATACATCAATTCACCACTAAGTGGTGCAGAGCCAGCCAGTCTATCTGTCTGCTCATTCCCCAACACACCGGCATAAACTGGACCTTACTTAAACATAAGATGTAAAAGCACACACAAAATGTTGACTGGTAAAAGTTAGTTGCATATTTTCTATAGAACATCGCAGAACCAACCCCAGAATTTATTGGTTGTTGGTTTCTAGGAAAATTTACCTTCAGTGTTTGCCATTGCTTTCTGAACAGCTGACTCCAGAAACTACAGTAGAAACCAACACAAGACAGTCTGATGCCAAACAGCATGCAGCTATTATCAAACCCAGCACCCCGGTATTACGAAGCCCTTTCATACTGCCTAAGCCACAGATGTCATCAGAATATCCAACCACGCATAATGCATTGTTTTGGGACAGAATGTTTTCCATTAGTTGCAGAATGTTTTTACTGTTATGTCCATAGCTGTTTTGTGTTGTGGCCTGCGCTAAAGTCTTAATCCACAATACAGAGGACTGACATCTGTGGAGAGACTGAATGTGAGAAGACTGATTTGGAAGAATACATGATGATGATGAAATAACAACAGTTCAGGGCACAAAGAGTTTAATTGGCTATTCTCCGAATAACGGTCCTAAATTATTGAGGCCTAAAATGTACCCTAACAGGGCCTCAGTCAGTGCCAATTGCGAACTTCCGGGGACTATAAACCCACCGCCGAATTGCGAACTTCCCGGGACTATACTGCCACCGTCGAGTGTATCCCCACGCGGCGTGATTGGGGCTTAACTAGATGGCTGGAACTCACGAGCAAATAAAATGAAGGAAGCTGCAGGAGATGCGGTAGCTGCTGCTCGTGAGTCCCAGCCATCTAGTTTAGCCCCAAACCATGCCGCTCATGCGGCGTGGGGGATACTCTTGGTGGCGGCAGAAGTGCGCAATTTATGTCACCGGAATTACGTGACTGAGGCCCTGTTAGGGTATATTTTCGGCCTCGATAATTTGGGACTGTTATTCAGAGGATAGCCATTTAATTACCAACTTGGAGTGAGACTACAAGATTTTAGCACCAACACACTTTTTAAAAATAGTGTTTAAAATGAACATAAGAGAGCAAAAGGAACTAAGATCAACAAGACGCAATAACCTTATTCCAAAACTAATTGAAAGCACAGTGATTCTAGCCTAGTATTTGAAAAGCTTTCACTTGATAACTGACAAAATCAAGTACACAATTATATTATAAAGAAACCAAACAGCTTTCTATTTAGTTTACCTCCTTATCAAACCCCTCTATATACCCGAGCGACATGCAAACAATAGATACCTCATTACACGAGCTAGCGATCACATTATGACAGGATACATAACGGCAACGCCCACCTCCATGTTCACTACGGCAGCAAGTTTAAACAGTACCTGGCAGCAGAAGTCACAAGTTAGACATTCGTTTTCAATTATCTGTGCAAGTTTGCAGAATGTCCGATTCATGTTAGATAGATAAGTTACCATTAAGTTTTCTATTAGTAGCCCCGAATGTTTAAAAATTAGAACACTCGAAATAAACCATTACAACACTTAAGAGTAATGAGTAATGAGAGCTAGAAATAATATCTTACCTGCCAACGAAGTTTTCCAACACACTGCTCTTTCCGGCACTCTGACTTCCAACCACTGCAATTTGTGGCAGATCCAGCGATAGTGGGACTCCGAGAGAAGCGAATACATCTTGTAACTTATTCACAATAGGGATGAGATGCTCCATCCCGACGTTGCCCGCCATCTTGCGATACTCAACGATCGATGATAGCAGAAACGCAAAACTTACAGTCGATTTACTTCTCCTACATTACACAATCAGCTGTACGCGGTTCACAGTTGGGGACTCTTATTTGCTGTTTAAATCCTTAATAATTCCTGACACCAACAGTGCAAGATAACAGAAGCTGTGGTGTTTATCGTACAAGAACTTTGAAACACGAACTGAGCAAATAATTAGAAATGTTAACTGGGTAACCTCCCCCCATTGAGCCACCCTATAATTTTGTCCAGAGTTACTTCCCGTTGTATTCTCAAAATTGTGAGGTGTAAAATTGTTGAACGGGTCTCAAACCGTAATAGAGTGGTTAAAGGGGGGGGGGGGGGGGGGGGGGGGGGGGGGGGGGGGGGGGGGGAGAGCTATAGGTTACAGCCCTATTTATCATTGCCAAATTATCAGTCTGATGACTAGTGTTAAAACCATTTAATCATGGTCTTTTCTATTCACTGCTTTTCTCTTCTTCTTCTTCTTCTTCTTCTTCTTCTTCTTCTTCTTCTTCTTCTTCTTCTTCTTCTTCTTCTTCTTCTTCTTCTTCTTCTTCTTCTTTTCTTTTTCTTCTTCTTCTTCTTTTTCTTCTTTTTCTTCTTCTTCTCTTCTTCTCCCCCCTCCTTCCTTTTTCTTTCTTTCTCCTCTTTCTTTCTTTCTTTCTTTCTTCTTTCTTTCTTTCTTTCTTTCTTTCTTTCTTTCTTTCTTTCTTTCTTTCTATTTCTTATGCCACAAAGCGTCGCAGAGAGGAGCTGTCTGTAGTTTCCTGTCGTTTTATAGTTGCGTAACTTGTGTTAATGTCATGCTGCTTTTCTGTATTATCTCTCTTACTCCCTCAACCCATCTCTTTTTCATGGTCCGGCCTCTTGCCTTGTAGTCTACTGTTCTCATGTAGTATGCTCTAGCTGCTGGCTGATTTTTATTCCATTCTCACCAAATGACCAAACCATTTTGATTCTTTTATCTTCTATGATGTTCTATTTTACTGGTCAGTCCAAGGACAGTTTATGTTTCTGACTATTCTTTTGTCACAGACCATTGTTACAGATTTAATATGAGAATCGGCATCATAGCACACCGGGCATACCCATAGATGCTCTGTCTCCCTCAGCAAATGTCTTTAAGGCGTAGAAACTAGCTGTTCCCGTAGCACACTGATAATACATACGTCGCCGTCCTCATCTCATAAGTCCTCCTCCTTGCTGGTTCCACCACATATAGCGCTTCATCATTTCCAACATCCAGCGTGAATGATAATCTTCTAGTTCTCCTCTCTTGTGACTCCCCTTCCTTATTACCCCTCTCCATCTCCTTCTCCTACTGCTACTAATATTTGCTGCGAGTAAAACTGTTACATTAACTACGTGCATTGTTAACTGCCACTGATGTTATTATTTTAACTTTCTGGATTGACTACTTTAAACTAGAACTTCTCAGAACATGAATAAAAATAATTATTAGTTGGTACTCAGAAAAAGGAAAAGAGGGGAGGAGGGAGAGACAGTGTTTAATTTTACAATGAAAATGAAAGGGATAAAACAGGAGGTGACCGGAATAAAATGTGTTAAACAGTTAGAGAAGAAATGCTACATAAGTCAATGATTGCCGCTTTTTGTGTGCATTTGAAGAGAGGCGTATTAGTAGTGTTGGTGCTCTTCAGAACATACAAATGGGAAATGGGTGGTTTTGGTAAGCAGCGTGTAAGCCGAGCCGAGCTTTTATGTATACTGTCATTATCATCAAGTATATGGTAGTTTCAATTCACCCTCCCTATTTCGCGTTTTTAGTAGTAATAGTAGTAGTAGTTGCAGCAGCAGCAGTAGTAGTAGTAGCAGCGGCAGCAGCAGGTGTAGTAGTAGAAGTTGTTGTTGTTGTAATTGTAGTAGTGGTGGTGGTGATAGTAGTAGTAGTAGTAGTAGTAGTAGTAGTAGTAGTAGTAGTAGTAGTAGTAGTAGTAGTAGTAGTAGTAGTAGTAGTAGTAGTAGTACTACTAGTAGTAGTAGTAGTAGTAGTAGTAGTAGTAGTAGTAGTAGTAGTAGTAGTAGTAGTAGTAGTAGTAGTAGTAGTAGTAGTAGTAGTAGTAGTAGTAGTAGTAGTAGTAGTAGTAGTAGTAGTAGTAGTAGTAGTAGTAGTAGTAGTAGTAGTAGTAGTAGTAGTAGTAGTAGTAGTGTAGTAACAATAATATGTTTTACAAATTAAGAACCAACATGACAGGCATTAGGGGGAAAAACCAATTCCCATCTTTAGCAGCCAGAGCAGAGTTCTTATGCAAATAGTACCACTGGAGGTCTGACTATACTTGTTCTTCATCCCTTTCTTCCTTGCACTGGGCATCTTCCACATCCTGTGATCACTCTCTTTCGCGCCATTCTTTTAAGACGCTGAGATCTATTTTCTCCTCCTTTTCGGTTGCGTGCTTTAGCATATTTGTCCTGCCATTCCCCAGTTTACCAATCAGAGGTACAACACCAGCAAAACTGTTTGCTGTCCCTTTCCCCTCACTCCAGCACTGAAGCATTAACAGAGGTATCTTCTTCAGCTGGTTTTATTCTTCACAAATCAAACCATATCATATCAAGATAACCCAGTTTGTACGGCCATGGCATTTTAAATGTGTGTGTGTGTTTGTGTGTCTCAATAACTAGCATATACAAATTCTCAAATACCGTAGCATCGTTTAAAACTCACCATCTCCGTGCCCCCACTCCCATTCCAATTACCCCTATGTGTTCGTGTCCCTCTTTCTTTAATCATAGTTTCTCTTTCGCCTTTCCATCTGTGTGTGTCTATCTTTAAGCTGGCTATCAATGTATTCATTTCACCCCTTTCCTTCACCTCTATGTTATAATTAAACCCTTACTCCCCCCCCCACACTTTCTCTCTCTCTCTCTCCACACACACACACACACACACGATTGCACCCATCTCTCCCTCACACACACACACTCTGTCTATCCACATACTCGATTGCATCCCTCCTTCTCTCTTTCCGCACGATTGCAACGATATTATCGATTCGGTTTACAAACTCTTCTCTCCCCCATTATTCCAAGCATCAAGCATTTATGCAGCCCACCCTTCCATGCCATCAACCCCATATCGATAACGCGAGAACATTCAGATAGCAGCGCAGGGCACCCTTATCAAGGATCGACCATTGATTTTCCACTTATTGGGTTTATGGGGTTCTGTACTTATTTATCAGCTCCCATTTTCTGATTCATGTCGGTGGACTCCATACGGTAAGCGAAGAACTGCAACAACGTGACCAGGGCCGGATTAATCATTAAGTACACTAAGCACGTGTGCAGGGCATCACAAAGTGAGGAGGCACCACAGACATTTCAATAGCTTTGGAGCTGTGCGTTTTTTTCCCTCGCTTGAAATATATTTAAAAATCATATCAGAACAACAATGCAACAATGTAGAGAAGCAGATATGTTACTTAAGATTAGCATCTAAGAATCTGATCACAGACTGCAATAGAAGAAGTAGGGGAAAACTGTTCAAACATAAATAAAGTGGAAGTATACAAAAATAGTCATTTAGTTTCTATCTTACTGTGATATATTCTCTGGGTAAGCAGGAGTGTTGGGAAATGAACATGCAGAAGACTGGCTGGTTCTGCACCAACGGGTGGTGAATTAATGCATAACAAACATGGTTAAGAGCCTTTGGAGCAAGTGAACCAAGCAAAGGCACGAATAGATCATTATGGTCTAGAGAGAGATGTACAGCTAGGAGTGACCTAGGGATCTGGTCGACACTCTACTTCTTTCTCCTGCTCTTCTTCAATTCCTTTACTGCTTCGGGTAACAAGGGAGCAATTAGGTTCTGCCTAGACCATAGACACATCGTGATGTTGTAGAGTTTCTCTAATGTTATCTTTCCATCATGCTCTTTGTCTAGCTCGTGCTCTTCATCAATCTCCTCTTTTGGTATATAGTATAGTATGGCATCACAAGACATTATTTCTAAGTGGGAAAACTTTTTGATTTATTGTCTTAGCATGTAATTTAGTTTTGTTTCTGTGCCGACTTTATCTCTTGACCTCATACCTGATTTTATCTCTTCTGGTAACTCCTGCAGCTCTTCTCAGACTTCTTATTTTCATGGTTACTAATTTTCTTGTACAGTCTGTTGTGAGGGACCAGATCTGGTACTTACAGTACATGGTTGGAATGAGCATGTTTTGTATGTGTTTTTGTGCTGATTGAGATTGTCTTGTGTTGTAAATGGGGGGAATGGACATATGAAACCGTCACGTATGCCATTGGAACCAGAACTCTTCACAGGCAGCTAAAGATGAGGACAGAGGGCTTATAGAAGTGTCCCAAGTGCTGTGATGTCACTTCTTGGCTCAACACTTAAGAAAAAGGATGAGGTAAAGGAGGATAAAAATGAAATAGACTTGGATTAAAAAGAGGATAAAGGGCAGTTACATTTGTTTTTTAAATCATTATTATGGTTCCTTTCATGTTGATCTATTTTTCATTATTTTACAGTTTTTTTTTTCCTGTGTGGAAACTTATGGGACACCTTGTAAATTTAGTTTATGTCAAAAGATCATTATAATCAATTCTCCTAGTTACATTCCTTGTGACTTTGTTTACTGATCAAAGTTTATTTGCAGAAACAATGTAATATTTCTTTCAGTTGTCTTTCAACAGTTTGTCTTGTTTTTCTTCATTTTGATCAACAAAGGCACTGTAATATTGTAGCTGAATGTTTGTCTGCCAGCCCAAAGGTCTTTGGATCAAATCCACACCCAGTCCTAAAATGGATATCAGGCATGGTATTTTTCTTCTGGTGTTACAACGAAACCACTTTTTTTAAAAAGACACTTCAAGTTCCAGCACTTTTCTAGAAAAAGCCTTGATACAAGACAATGTCCTCTAAAGTAACGGTGGTAAGCTAATCTAACACAGAATGCACAGAAGCACACTTCCATCAATGCCATTTATGTAATCACAATAATT